AAAAGATAAACATCTTTGAATAGCATGTGTAGATATATTGGAAGAATTTAGATGATTGTAAATATAGTTTTGAAACAATAAGATGCCAAAGACTAGATGCAATAGACTTCTTGGCATACAAATCAAACAAACGATTATAGACACATGTATATTGATATCTTTATTTGATTATTATCTTATTTACATGCATACAACTACAATTGCACTTCAATCAAATTTAAGCAACATCAACTAAGCATCTTTTTATAATAATACAACCTTAAGAAAATGCAAGTAATTAGACGTTTTTGAAAAGATCAGCTAATATAAGATACTTACATTTGGATAGAAGAAGCATATGGAGTGAAGAACCTCCATTCTTCTTAGATCAAGATTTGTAAAATATTCATTGTATGTATCAAACTAATTATCAATTAGTCAAAAAAATTATAAAATATTAGTTCAAGTGTAGTTCTAGACCTCTTTTTTTTCCTCTTTTTTTCTTTTTTTTACAAGTTGTAATACATATTTCAAAAGCCAACCAACATATTTGCAATTAGACTTTCACAATACTTTGAATCAAACTTCAACAAAATATTTAACAATATATGTACTAATAATCTAAATTATAATGATTAAGGTAGAGAGATCTTGGTACAAGCTTTCTTCATGATATAAGTACAACCTTTGTAGTGTAGCATCATTTAATGTACCACCTTCCTAATTTCTATTGTGTACATCACTAATCAAAAATTGCACACATGGTAATAGATTTGCATTTATGATTGGATTTTGAGAATTATTTCTTTAATATCTAATGAAGACATTACTTGTAAATTATGAATGCTTCCAAAATCTAAGAATGTCAAATCAATTGTTTGTTTAGAAAAAATCAAATTTTTAGTAATAGAAAAATAATAAATTCCATACAAGCATGTTGATGACAACTTAAAAGTAAATATAATCAACATTATGAGGCTTATCCTAAATATTTAAGTAGTTGCATCTATGTATCTTTTAAGATAGCATTATTGTATTTAACCTTCAAAAACACAAACTCTATACTTAATAAAAATAAAGACATGTAAAAAAAATCATCACAATCAAACTTCTATCTATTTCAACATGCATGCCTTACTCCATCTCCATCAACCAAAACATTCACTCTCAAAAGTGACGACCATAATTCACACGTTATATTTGACTTTAAATTTATATGTCACCATAATATCTTACTTCCTTTGTCTTTACCTCTATTTAATCCTACTATAATTCATATATGTTGGATTTGTGCTTATACTAGAGTAAACAAGATTCTTACCTATTTCCACCAACTTTTTGTCTTCTAATTCATACTATCTTCTTTCTTGTGTTTTACAAACCAATAATTTTTTTTTTTTTACAATTCCATCCCTTCTATTAACTACATTCATATCCATCCTCAATACTAGTATTTTCAAACTCACTTTATAATCCAACTTCAACTTATATTCATGCAAAATACATATCACGATTTTTCTAATCTTTGCTTTTGTTTCAAGCTCAACCATTTACCAAGCAATATACACACATTATTAGTACCCTATATAATCATAATTATTATATCTAATATCTCCTCTCTAATTATCTTAGGCTTTGCTTTAAAGGTATATAAGGACATTGTTGCATAGACAAGCAATTCTCCTTACATCACTTTTTGCTTATAGTGCATCAATCAAAGTTATGTTTGCCATCACTCTATTTGCCCACTCCAACCATGCTAACATAAACTATTTGCTTCCAATATAATTGTTGCTTGTTAAATCAAGTATGCATTTGACATAAAAAAATTACCGTTTCCTAATACAATACTTGCTATCCTATACAACCAATACTTATTATTGACTCGTCACTCGTCATTAACACATACATAAAACCTTTTTCTTTCTCTCCTCCAAAACCAAAATTCTTCTTATATTTTAAATATTAGACTCTCACCTTTGATGCATGTGCTCTTGTATAACTAATCTCATCTCTTTAAATTTATATAGTCTTTTAATCTTTATTACAATTTATTCTATAAGAGAGATTCATCACAATTCATATCTCTCTTGCTTGGATTTTTTTATTATTTCTATCTACTCTAATTGCATCACCAAATACCTTCATGCATATTAAATACATGTACTACCTATATATAAATGCATTTGGCAATCACATCTCAACTTATAGTCATTTATCACTACTTTCACTAAGAAAAAAATAAATTGAATACTTGTATAATAATAATAAAAAAAAAAAAAACTTATGTTCAATGTAAGGTCATAGTTGCTTAGTTTGATCTTTTTTGTTGTAGATTTGCCATTATCTTTGTATATCAATGGCTTTGATCCTAAATAAGCTACTTTATTAGCTTTTCTTTCAACTAAACTTTTCTTTCCAATACCTATTCATATCACAACTATTTCTACAATTCCACACACACAATCAAAACTACCACTACTATCACACTTTTTTTTATTCTTTCTTTTTATAGTAAATATTTCATCTACAATCAAGCTCATACATTACCTTGAAAGCTATTTCTATAGCCCTTGCTTACTTTGCCACCATAATTGCCTTCACCTCAATTTAGATGGTAGCTTACTTACATTTTTCAAATCCACATCTTTGTACATCTCTTTATCAAGTGGACCATCCACTGCATTGTTCTTATTTCTTCTCAATTAGTCTCCATTTGATAATTACAAGATGACAACGTTAAACCTATATTCCAAATTCACAATATATTTGACCAAAATAAATCAAATTTAATTCTATAACTCCAATTAGCAACTTCTTACTACCTTCTATTTATCTAAACCTTTTTTATTAAATAAATAAAAAAAACTTTTATAAAATGTTTATGAAGTGTAATTTTTTTAACAATTCATTATATAATAAAAAACTTATTCCTCCAATTATACAAATCTTTTTTTTTTTATATCTTTTAAGGCTCTTCTAGAATCCTACTCACATAACTTTCAAAGCCTACATCATCAAATCACAACAATTCTAATATGGTAGAAACAAATCTAAGCTACACAACTTTACTGCAAAAAATGCAAGCTTGATGCAAAAAGCTATATGTTGCAAGCGCTTATACAATATGTTTGGAGACAATAGAAGGCTTGGTTGAATAAATGGACAATAAGGATTGTAGATACAAAAAGAGTGATGCCACTTCTACAAGAGGAAGAAAAGGCAATAATATCAAGAAGGCTTTTATAACAAGTGATGGCAATGACTATGATGATAATAATTTTGAATTGTAATAATGATGCAAGTTGTAGCTACTCCTATAAGATCAAATTCACAAGATTTTGGGGCATAATGATTTAACAATAGGACATCAAGCTACATTCATAAATACAATACATGGAATGGAGTGAAGTTATTTGAAAATACATTGAGTTAATCATAAGAATCCAAGTAGGGTGTCACATTAATAATAGGAGGATATTGCTTTAGCAACTCATATATATATATATATATATATATATATATATATAGTTAATAATAAGAGAATTATATTTTTTTAATCCATCTAAAAATTATACTAATATATTTTATTTTTATTATTTACTTAAATAATTTTTGATTTTTTTTAACAGCTCCAAATTATGCCATATTTTTCTACTTTAAAAATCAATATGTTGCAAGGAATTGAATCTTGCATTCTTGCACACAAAACTCAGATTGCCTTTAGTATATAAAATAATCATTGGCAAAATATTCAAATAAAAATATTCAAATAAAACATTGGAAAATAAAAACATACAAAATTTATGAAGTAATTTTTGTGGATATCTTTAAAATTATTCATGCTTTAGTTTTGATAATTTGAAAAAAAAAAATAGAAATAATGAGAAAATATAAGTATTGAACTAAGGCTTGTTACAGAAATCACATTTCATGACTTCAGTTTTAAAATTTTTGAAAACCATCCATGATTATGATAAGCTCACATGTAAAACCAGAGAGCTTCAAATGGTTTCTGGGAGCTCATTTCTTTATTTTGTGCAGGTTGAAGTTGAGTTGTATCATTTGCTAAATTTTGACTTGAAGAACTCTTCTAAGAACTGCGTAGCTGATTTTGGTGTGTTCTCTCAGGGCACATTCATGGTGGACAACGTCAGATGAGAGTCAATATTCTTGTGAACTATGAGAAAGCTGCATGACAGCCCTCTGCCGAGGTTGAATTCTACACACCACATGTTCTCGTGTTTTTCTCTCTAGTAGTATTAAAGCAAACCATCATTCACTCCACGTTTTAAGAATGTCATATTTCAGGAGCAAAAGCAGTTGACCATGCCAATGAATGGTGCAAAGCCACACAAACCCTTCGATCAGTCAATGCTAGTGACATTGAGCACGACGATCAACATGGGAGCATTTCGGTTCACAGTGCCTAGATTTTCTGCTGGGAACCGTGAACAAAAACTCGTTATGAAATGATAATTTTCAAGATGAACATCACGTTGCATGAATTTCAGCAATTATGAAACATGAGGGACTTATAGATAATTAGCTTGTTCACGAAGGAGGCACTTGGACAGTTCACCATCATCTCCAATCAAGGGCGTGGAGTGGAGCGGAGCGAATCGAAAAACAAAATGAGAATCTGAGCAGCAGCAGGACGACTAAGGAAGAAGACAGAATCAGAAATTCGGGGGAGCATTGTATTCAATCAAAACACTGTCGCAGATGCAGTTGCAGGAGCGGGGGGGGGGGGGGGGGCACGAAGTTCAGATGAGTCCCGTGCACAAACGGGTCCCGGTCGTCCTTATTATCCAAACCGCTCTCCAAATAACGGGCGGGCGAGGGGAGATCATTCCTGGACATGGCTGGCTGGATGGCTGGTCGGGCCGGGTTGCCGGGGTGCGAAGGCCAGGCACGCAGGTTCACAGGATAACGTTCATCCGGGGTGGAACATCATCCTCTCTCCCGCAGGACATTCATCCATGGCGAGAGATAGAGAGAGAGCTCTACCTCGATGATGTTTCATGTATAGACAGGAAATGGGAGGAAGGAAGGAAGGAAGCTGGAGCCCAAGTGATCCTCATCCCTAGCCCCCCCACCTCCCCCCAATCTAAATTCTGCCGCAGCTCCTGCGCATCAGCCGAGTGTATTCAGCATCGTCCCAGCTCCTGGGCAGAAGCTTGTACGTTTTCGTTTTTTAGTACCCGAATTCTGAAATTCCTCATTGTTTATGTGTGTTCTTCTGGCTTAGAAGAGAGTGTTAGTTTGCGGCTTCCAGGATTCTGGTAGGGATCCAAAAAAATTAGTTTATTTTTATTTTATTTCAGGGAATACTGTCGTGAATTGAGACGCGGGAGATTCGATGCTTTGTTTCCATACCTCCACTCTGATTTGTTTATGCTTTTTTCTTTTTTCTGTTTTGTGTTTAGAGTTTTTGCGAAGGTAGGGGCAAAGATGGCCTCTACAGCAGGCGGCACCATGCAAGCGTTGAGAGGGGTATCGTCAGCATTTTACCGGTTTCCCTCGTCTAGAGTGGTGAAAGCCATTGCTTCCCTGGATGTGGCGACTATACCCTCGATCTCGGGCACTTTTGGTACCGCCACGAGCTGGAAGAAGGTGGAGAATGCGAATTGGAGGCGTCAAGGTTTGCGTTGTATGGCTTCTGCTGCGTCCACGGCTGCCAACAATTTGGTAGTCTCCGAAAACTATGTGGCTGTTTCCTCACCTTCAACGGGCAGTAAGATTTATATCCTACACTTGGATTTTAGCGCACTTTTCCCAAAAATTGATCTACGATTATTGAATTTCGCAGCTCATCGCATCTGGTTTACTTGGCGCTTAGACTATTCTTTTCTTGTCTGCTATTCTCTTCTTTCTTCTGCGTTTAATATTTTCTCTTTTAAACGATCCATAGTATCCATTTTTGTGTATCATTGAAACATCGCTGAAAGGATTTTCTTTTCATCACATAAACACCTACCTGGAGGCCACGAATGGTATCGAGGGTTTCTTAAAATGATTATTATTATGTTTATTATTATTTTATGCCTGCGAAACTTTTGCTTCTCAATAAATTTACTCTCAAGTGAATTTGTGAGTTCATTCTTAAGGATATCTTGCCGGAATTCGTCATCTTCGATAACTTGCGAACGGATTGGTTGATTCGCTGTCTAGCCACTGTTCATTGTTGTAACATTAGCCTCTAAAAAGGTCGCATCGTTGCTTTTAGTCGAGCCATGATAAGGGTCTCTTGTTTTCGGCAGGCACTGAAACTGATAATAGTTCGAAACAAACATGGAAGGCCAGCATTGATTTCAAGTTCATTCGGGATAACAAGGAGGCTATAGCGAAGAACATTCAAAACCGTAAATGTGGTGGAGATGTAGAGCAGGTGGTGCAGTTGTATGAACAGACTGTCAGTCTCAACCAGGTAACAAATGCCTTACAGCATTAGTATTGGCTTGGCAAAGATCGTTGGGTTGGTGTTTACCGGGAGGAATTGTTCATTTCAGCTGCTGATCGTTTTTGGGTCCGTTATGACGGTAGCGCTTATCTAGTTGAGAGATTTGCAGGAAGTTGACAAATTGCGGGCTGAGAGAAATGCTGTAGCCAATGCTATGAAAACCAAGTTAGATGCGTCCCGCCGGGAGGAACTGATTGAGAAAGGTACTGGTCTTCTGTGCGTCCAAACTGTCTTTACTCATTGTATTCTCTTAGCCCTCTGGGATTTATTTTGGGCACATAAACTCGTTCTGTATTCTTTAATTGAGTGTTATCTCTGACAGCATAAAATCTGATTATGCTGTTCAACTGACTCCCAATTACGCCAATGTAGTAAAACCTACAGTCAATCAGATTTTTGTTCACATTCTCGAATACTGTAAATCATCTATTCAACCTAGTGTGGTTGAACGAAGTACTTGGATATATGTGATGCAAACGCTGTTGTGCACATCTGTTGTTGTCAATAGATGTGCGCATTGACATAGGGGCAGCAGGTGACAGTAGCGAAGGGTGTATTTTAGGGTGAGTTTAACAGCTCCCTTCGTATCTTATACAGGCAAGCAGCTTAAGGATCAAGTTTCGGAGCTTGAGATAGAACTATCACTGCTCCAAGAGAAGCTCCAATTGGAAGGACAGCGCATTCCGAATATGACACACCCCGACGTACCGGTTGGTTCAGAGGATGTTGCAACCCTACGAAAGGAGGTACTTTTAGGTTCTCATGAGTTTCTTCATTTGGTTTTTGTAACCTAGAAGTTTTTTTATTTTTTATCTTTTATTTTTATTTTTCCAGTACGAACAATTCCTTATTGATTGCACAGTTATTTCAGCTTTGAGTGTTTATTGAATTTAGGTCAATGCATGAGAGTAGGGCTTTGAATTGTACCTTTGGTTCTAGGTCTAATATTTAATACCCTCGTATTTTGAGTACAAACCTCGGTTAGTGTTGTTGACTCTTGGCTCTTTTTCACTTGGGTGAAAATTAGGCTTATCAAGGTTTTGAAAATAGCTTGTATGATTGATTCGATGGCAGTTTTTTCAGAAATATAAGATTTTATCTTTGCGAGAATGGTTTGTCTATCAGCTTTGTTATATGAAGTACAGATCTACGTCTAAAACAAGTTTGGGAAATATTGATAGGTTGGAAGCCAGAGGAAGTTTACATTCCCTGTCAAAGATCATGTTGAAGTGGGACTTGCTCTTGACCTATTTGACTTTGAAGCGGCAGCTGAGGTATTTGCGTAACAGAACCTCTTGAATAGAATTGAATTTGCTTTTCAAGGGATGAGGCGTTTACTTAGTATCACTTCGCTACTACTGCCTAGCGAAACTGTTGATTCTGTGCTTGCAGTCCACGCAGCCTTCGCCACTCAGGAAGCTGATCATGGCGAAGGACAATTGTTTATTCAATAGTTAGTTCTCGGTTGTTTTCTGTCCGCATCTTTGTCCTGAATTCGACCACACAAAGATTCTATATGTGCCACCTCGCAGGATTCACGGCTAACTGTCTATGATTTCTTCGGCAATTCTAAGGAATGTGACCGACAAAAACAAATATATGACTCATGATTGGTTGGGCTTTGTATCCTTTTTGTAGGTGAGTGGTACCAAGTTCTATTATCTGAAGAACGAAGCATTCCTGCTGGAGATGGCCTTAATCAACTGGACTATGTCTAAACTGCTACCGAAGGGCTTTATACCGATGAGCACTCCAGACTTGGTTCGCTCCACTGTAGTTGAAAAGTGTGGCTTCCAACCTCGAGGTCAAAATACGCAGGTGCATGTCCTAATTATTTGAATTATTTTATATCAACCAGAAAGTTAGAAGAGATTGCTCTCAGCTCGGCTGATTAGACAAAATGCCTGTACATGTTGATTTCATGCTTGAGCGCAAATGTCCAGCCTTTGTGCTTTCGCCACAATCCTGGGAAGATAAAACAGCTTCGACAACAATTAAACCCTGTTCTGTGCAGGTGTATTCTGTAGAAGGAACGGACTTATGCTTGGCAGGAACTGCCGAGATTCCAGTGGGCGGCATGTATATGGATAGTATGCTCCCTGAATCTGCATTACCCTTGAAGATCGTAGCTTACTCTCACTGCTTCCGCACGGAAGCTGGGGCTGCTGGTGCCGCAACCAGGTACTTTATTGCCTCTGTCGAGGATCTTATATCTTTTAAGTTTCATTATCAACACTTCGCAACTGTATTGCATCATTGTCTACTCCTGTACAACCACGCTGCCGATATATGATGTTTTTATTTACTTACCGTGTCGTGTTGTTGGCACTAATATGGCATCCCAGTGGGAAGTGTGGTATGAGTTGATAGCCAGCATTTGACAAACTATATTACAGGGGTATCGTAACAGGGGTTTGTATCGGGTTCATCAGTTCAGCAAAGTGGAGATGTTTGTAATTTGTCGACCTGAGGAGAGTGATTCGCTTCACGAGGAGCTCATTTCCATTGAGGAGGAACTCTATGCTTCTCTTGGTTTGCACTTCAAGTAAAAATCTGTTCCTCGTCCATGGCTTTGATCAAAATGCACCGATTAAATCATCTTGTCTTTAATCCGCAAACAGTACCTGAGTGAATAGTTTTTTTTTGTCTCTAATTCCTTATCTGTATTAGAGAGTGAGACAGAAGAAGCCTAGGCAACGATCTAATATTCCACGAATACTCTTTTGTGTCAATCCTTGCAACATCATGATTTTCCTTATTTGATCTTTTCATACTAAAAAGACTTCCTAGGCTCTTACCAAAATGTCCTTTGTTTTGAATTCATTTCGTTTTCGTATCTCACCGAGTGGAATGACCATTCAGGACATTAGACATGTCAACAGAAGACCTTGGTGCTCCTGCTCATCGTAAATATGACGTGGAGGCTTGGATGCCAGGACTTGGTCGATATGGAGAGGTTTGGATCGAGATTTGTTTCCTTTTAAACTGACATAGTGAAAAAACTTTGCAAATGTTGAAATGTATATTGTGTTTTTTCATTGCTGGCGTAAGCTTCCTCGAAAAAATGACCGGTTCCACAATGTTTCTTATGTACATGGTTATTTTGACTTTAATTCGTTTCTCTGGTGGGGGTTTGCATTTCATGTTGCAGATCTCGAGTGCCTCGAATTGCACAGACTACCAAAGTCGAAGGCTTAATATTCGATATCGACCTGCTGTTGTTGTAGCAACAACAGCCCCTTCAGTACCTCTACAACCTCCCGCGAAGGCCAAGAAGGTCAAAAACACTCTACCACCTCCACGGTTTGCGCACACTTTAAATGCAACGGCATGTGCTGTACCTAGAATGATGATCGCCATTCTCGAAAATAACCAGCAAGAGGATGGTTCTGTCATTATCCCCGAGGCCTTGAGACCTTTCATGGGTGGCATTGATGTGATCCGCCCTAAGTCTAGCCAACCCTGACTTTTCGTGCAAGTTTCTCTTTTTCACTGAACGCTTCGAACCCCGTGCTGGTTCTTTCAGAATCGGTCTCAAATTTTTTCTCTCCAATATGAAGTTTACATTCAAATTCATGGTTCTTATTTTTCTTGAAGTTTAAATTTTTTCCATCTTTAGACATATTGTAATCTAAAATTATTAATAAATATGCTGAAAACATTGATTGTTTAAATTAAGACTAGTATTGTATTTATGGCACTTATTAAAATATGATTTCATTTTAGAGAGATGTGTATTTAAGATGTAGATACACTATTTGTAAAAATAAATAAATTATGAAGTATTTTTAGATAATCTTCGAATAACTACTACAGATATTTAAGATTGAAATTTAGTATTAATTTAAAGATATCTTAATCACTAGGTTTTGCACTATTCTTTAAATATCTTCTTTTTGGATTAATTGGATTTTTTTAATACAAATCACACAACTCTCAATTGAATTGATTTCTTCTCTATTAGAATGAGCTTTGTGAGAAGAAAAATTATATAAATTGATATTGGCCATATTTAGAAATTTTCCTTCTCATTAACTTTAGACCTATCAAGATTATTATATCTTCTATTAATTTTTTAAAAAAGTTCTTCAACAATTAAGTCTTTTGCAGAATTATAATATACAAGGTCTTTTGATAACTTTATTCTAGATTCATTCATTGAATTGATATGGTTGGTTTAAATAGTCATATATTCTTAAAACATAACTTAATGTTTCTTCAAATTATGAGTTAATTTAGTTCAAGTAGCTATAGATATTAACGACAAAATTATGACAATTTATTCCTCAACATATATAACGTAATATTTTGTACAAATTTTAGTATTTTGGTTTGTATTTTTGTTCAGTTTTTTTTTTTTTTTTTTTTTTTTTTTTTTAATATAAATTCTGTTTAATTTTAAAAACAAAAAATTATAAAGTATGTATTTTTTTCAATGTTCTATAATCTTTGGCTTATAAGGTCTCTAATTAAAAAAGAATTTTCTTGGTTTAGAAGATTCTTTGCATTGATTTGAATATTAATTAAAATTAAATTAATCATTATTTATTTTTTAATTTTGAAATAGCAATATGATAACTACTTTAATCCCAATTTTGATTTGGTTTCTTTTAGAAGCCATGCTAGAAGATGTTTTTGACTTTATTCTTTAGTAAGATGTACGTAAAACATTATGCATATTTCGTCTTGTTATGGTTAGAGATTAATATTGTAATTATATACTATTTTGGTTATTAATAAAAAAATTACTTTCAATATATTAAATTTTTGTAATATTTAGTCTTCTTAGCATTGTGGTGTTAAATATAACTAACTCTTCAAAAAAAATTGTCAAAAATGAAAAGAAGTATTGTAATTAACTTTGTTTGTGTATTTCACAAAAAATATCTTTTTCTAGAAATTTAAGCTGGAATATTATGCATAAAATTCTTTGATATTTCTTAATTCAATTACTTTATTCATTATTTTTTAAAATTGATAGATGATTTAAATATTATGCCTTTTATTTTCTTGATAATAAGCTTATAGATTATGTATCAAGTTCAATTGGTTTTCTTAGGTATTGTATTTTAAAAATTACTCCATAAAGTGCATGGATGCTTGTCTTTTCTTTATAAATTTTACTTGTAAGAATACAATAACTAAAAGCTATACAAATTTCTCTTTAGTTTGGTTTTATTGTGGTATGCTTATTGATTTGTAAAATCTTAGTTCTATTATTATTTTTTCTATTAGACATTGTATAGCAACGAATTGATTTAACTAGTTCCTAAATAAAGGTCATGTAATGGTGGTATAAATTATTTATCCAACATATCTACTAATACCTCAATTTGTATCTTCTAATGTAATATGAACTTTTTATGTAGATTGAAAATAAATAACTTCAAAAAATTCTTATATATATATTTTTAATCTTCTTTAATATCTCTAAGTTAAGCATTGTTATTATTTTGTATTTTATGAAAACTTTGTATTTTAATATTTTAATATGATTTATATTTGGTCATGAATTTTGTTTTTGATTTTGATTTTGATTCCTTTGTAATTTTTCTAAGTTGGTCATTGGATTACTTTATATTATGTGAATTTTTTGTATTATATAAATCAATTATTATTTGTACCAATTCTAGTTATTTTACTTGCATATCATTTTTTTTTTTGATATTCTTATTTATATTGATTAGTTAATTTGATTTAGGAGATTTTTTATCTTTTTTTATTTATTTTTTAAAAAACTTGTATATACATATTAGTAAATTTAAATTTTATATTTTCTAAATATTTTTTGGTCATTAGTTTATGCTTCTTTGTTTAAATTATTATTATTTTTAGATCTTTTCCTATTTAAGTCTATATGAGTATATTGATTTTCTACAATATTTATGTCTTTTGTATCTTAGATGTAAATTGTGGTCATGAGATATTTATTAACTCTATTTTAACTTACTTCATTTACTTTTGAAACAACTTTTCTTCTAATAAGTATTTCCTCTTCTACCATCATTATTGTACATATTTGATTTTTTCAATCTAATATATTCTATTTCGTACAACAATGTAATTTATACAAGATACTTGATTTTGAGTTTTTATGAGGAGATTGTAATAGATCTAAAAGATTTAAATTTCAAGATCTTATAATTTTTAAATTATCAGATATGTAATTTCTAAGTCAAAACTTGGTACTACTATCTTATGTTAAACATATTATTTTTTCTCAATAATGGTCTTGCAAACTAAACTTTAATGCTTCAAATGAATGTATATTGAAGATTTAGTTTATATTATTCTGTGATTTAAATTAGAGCATAGTTTCCAAATATTAAAGTTGGATTATTTTTATTTATTAAATTAATCTATCTATAGGTGTAATTTCTATTTTTTAATGTTAATAATTTTTTTTATTCAATCAATCTATCTTAAAGAACTTATTTTTTTATAATTTTTTTGATTAAATTTTCATGCTTATTTAATAAAGTTCAAACCTTTAATTTTACTTAAGTCTAATAGACTATACAAATAAGATTCTTGCTATTTAAAAAAATATGTATCTAAATTCTTTTGCTCATTAACTATATCTTTATATTAAAGTAGTTTTTTTTAAAAAATGAAATTCTCATTCTTTTGAGGAAACAAGTAAAATCAACAAAGTCCAAAACTTAAACTATTTTTAATAAAAATCTTATTCATGAAAAAGCTATAGTTTGTAATAAACTAAAGAAATTATTTTATTAATCATTTTTAATTCATTTCTTGTGCACTAAACTTTCTATTGATTTTTTTAATAAATTATTTATTTTATTCATTCTTTCTACATATATCTAAAATTTATTATTGACTTCTTTGATATTTTTAATCTTCTAATCTAAGGTTCTTTGTACCAATATTCAAACTTATAGATGGAGCTTTATTGATGCTTGTTATAAGACAAAAAAAGTAACTAGAGATGTTTTTGTGTCTTGTTAAAACTTTTGATGATAGCAATTAATAAATTGTAGCTAAGAAAAAAAATTGTTAGGACTTTTAGATCAACTTTGCAAAGTGTCAATCTTAGATCAACAAGTTGCTAAATTAGCTTTAGTAATTCTTGTATCAAACCATCTTTTCTTGTGAAAAACACCATTGATGATTTATATATTATTTGTAACAAATGTTGATGTTGTTTTTACCAACTAAAGCTTCTTTTGAGTCTAATATGTAAAGATAAGTCATTCATCAAGTCTAAGGCCAAGTATTGGAGTTTATGTATGGTATTGTGAATTAACAAAATTTTGATATTAAAACTTCATGAATCTTTAGACAAAAAAAAAAGAAAAAAAAAGAAAAAAAATACATATATATATATATATAGACTTACAATATAAAAAAAATCTAGCAATTATATAATATTTTATTACAAAATTCTATTATATTACTTGCATCTCTAAAATCACGTTATTTTAGATTTTGAGGCAAATAATTTTTTTTTATCTTTCTAATGACATAAAAAAAATATAAATTTAAGTTATCATGAATAAATTATGTTTATTTAAAGATAAAATATAAATAAAATAATATTAAATAATTCAAATAGTTTACTAAATTAATCTATCCATAATAAAGAATTTAGTAACAATGATGAATTCCCAAAAAATCAAGAACTAATATAATTGCCTCCATGACTTATTAAAACTCCATTATATTATTAACATTATTATATTTAACTTATTATAACTTTTTTTTGATGAGACTCTTATGACTCATAAAACTATCTAAATTTTAATAAATATATTAAAAATAAATAAATATTCTCTAATCCTTATATATTTTTATTTAAATAACTTAAAAGAATATTTTTTTATAATTACAGCAATTATAATCCATTATCAAGATTTATATATGGTGGCTTTTTGGAACTATTTGTAAGAATGAAAAAAAATCCTATTATTACTTTTGACATGATCAATGATAAAAAAAAATATAAGAATTTATAGGAGTTGATACTATAATCTATTAGAAAAAATAAAATATTAGAAAATAAATACTAGGATTTTGATTTAGAAATAAAAAAATATATATATATATATATATATATATATATATATATATATATATATATTTGATTCAATATGTCTCTATGTGTAGCAACTTCTTACTTAGTCACCAATTTAATATTGGAAAGTACATGTATTTTTATCAATATTTGAATTGAAGTCTACATGATTGTAAATTACTAATAACTTAATGTAGTTCTACTACCTACATTAGAGACGAATATAGCTTAAAACAAAAGAATACTTAATAATTCTTGTTGCTTTTACCTCGAGCCTAGCCTCAGAATACACTAAAGATGAAAATAATTTATAGGTTTGACTTAGAACCACTAAAAAAATGACTCAATATATTGGTGTTATAACCATTAATTACCTCTTATATTCTTTATAACAACTTCTATTAGTTTGTGTAAAAAATTCTCATTCATTCAATGTTTTAAGTTGGACTAAATTATTATCAAAGACTTCTTTGATAATATATGGTCTTGTCTAAAGTTCATCAGATTTAGATGGAAATTTTAGTTTTTTAGTATTTTAGACCATTATCCATATTCTAAGAGTAAGATGACTTTTCTTAATTTGTTTTATTAAAAAACTATTTTCTTCTTCTCTAAGTAGTTTTTATATGTTGGACTAAAAATC